GAGGACAACACGCTAAGCAAAATAGCCAGACACAGAAAGACACATACTGCACGAACCTCACTCACACCTGGAATCTAAAAACGTTGAATTCCCACAAGCAGAAAGTAGAAGAGTGGTTCCGAGAGGCAGGGGTGCAGGAGGAGGAGACGCAGAGGTGACAGGGAAGGACGTGAGGTTTCAGATCTGTGAGATAATACGTTCTGGAGAGCAGCTTGCAACTTCGTTGCGCCTACAGCGAACACAGCTGTATGCGGAAGCGGACTTTTTTCAAAGATGCATTGTCTTGGTGATCCAATGCATTTTTTTTTTTTTGAGACAGAGTCTTGCTTGTTGCCCAGGCTAGAGTGAGTGCCGTGGCATCAGCCTTGCTCACAGCAACCTCAAACTCCTGGGTCAAGCAATCCTCCTGCCTCAGCCTCCGAGTAGCTGGGACTACAGGCATGCGCCACCATGCCCGGCTAATTTTTTCTATATATATAGTTGGCCTATTAATTTCTTTCTATTTATAGTAGAGACGAGGTCTAGCTCTTGCTCAGGCTGGTTTCGAACTCCTGACCTCGAGCAATCGCCCGCCTCGGCCTCCCAGATGCCAGATAAGGCGTGAGCCACCGCGCCCAGCCTGATCCAGTGCATTTTGCACGAGCCTGTGGAGGTGCGCCGCGTGGCTCTCCCTAAAGAAAGAACCTGCCGTTGGACTGCAAGACGTGCAGTTCGCAGAGCGCTGCCAGCTGTCAATCAATGCCTTCCAGACGGGCCCCAGAGCTCACCCTTCCTGGGCAGCCCAGCCACAATGGGCAGGACAAGGATGCCAGGGCCTCGCCTTTTGTGACGGATGGGGGATTCCTGAATGAGTCACCTTTACTTCCGACTTAACACTTTTTGGCCGGGTGAGGTGGCTCACGCCTGCAATCCTAGCACTCTGGGAGGCTGAGGCGGGCAGATTGCTCAAGGTCAGGAGTTCGAAACCAGCCTGAGCAAGAGCGAGACCCCGTCTCTACTATAAATAGAAAGAAATTAATTGGCCAACTAATATATATATATAGAAAAAATTAGCCGGGCATGGTGGCGCATGCCTGTAGTCCCAGCTACTCGGGAGGCCGAGGCAGGAGGATCCCTTGAGCCCAGGAGTTTAAGGTTGCTGTGAGCTAGGCTAACACCACGGCACTCACTCTAGCCTAGGCAACAAAGCGAGACTCTGTCTCAAAAAACAAAAACAAACAATAAAATAAAATTTAAAAAAGGAATGAACTATTGCAGCACATAACATGCATGAACCTGGGAAACATTTTGAGTGAAAGAAACTAGACAGGAAAGAATACATATTTTTTTTATCTGTCAGAAGTTCAAAAACAGGCAATATTTATCAATGGTGATAGAAGTCGAAATATTGGTTACACCACAGATATAAACTTTTTAGGGTGATGAAAATGGTCTAAATGTTTTGGGGGTTTGGGAGTTTGGGTTTTTTTTGTTTTGCTTTGTTTTGTTTTGTTTTTGAGACAGAGTCTCACTCTGTTGCCCAGGCTAGAGTGAGTGCCGTGGCGTCAGCCTCGCTCACAGCAACCTCACAAACTCCTGGGCTCGAAGCGATCCTCCTGCCTCAGCCTCCCAGTAGCTGGGACTACAGGCATGCGCCACCATGCCGGCTAATTTTTATATATATACGTTGCCAATTAATTTCTTTCTATTTATAGTAGAGACGGGTCTCGCTCTTGCTCAGGCTGGTTTGAACTCCTGACCTCGAGCAATCCGCCCGCCTACGGCCTCCCAGAGTGCTAGGATTACAGGCATGAGCCACCGGCCAAGTTTGGGTTTTTTTTTAAGAGACAGGGTCTTGCTCTGTCACCAGGCTGGAGTGCAGTGGCATTATCATAGCTCACTGCAGCTTACAACTCTTGGGCTCACACAATCCTCCCGTAAAATGGTCTAAATCAGGATAGGATCGTGGGTTACACGGGTGGCAGCATTTGTCAAGCTCATTGCACTATACCTTCTAATCATGTTAGCTGTATCTCAATCTTTTAAGAAACCTTTGGCTTTTTTGGAAGGCAATTCAACATCATTGATCCAGCAGCTTGAATTTATTAACAATTCCAAATAACTCTTCGGGGAAAGAAGAAGAGATGTTAATACTTAACTTTGCATCCTTTAATTAGCAAAGAGTTGGCCTTTTTTCGCAGCGGGGATTTGACATTTCTCGCCTGCACCGCGCGCAAAAAATTGGGGGCATATTTGACATCTTTTTTGTGTGTGTATAACTTTTACGCCCAAATAAATTTTTATTGCTACTTTTATTGTGTAAAATACCATGGTCCATTATCTGAAAATATCAGAAGTTACGGTTAACACTCAAACAAAACGGCAGCACGAACACAATTTCTCAATATATCCAACACCTGAACCGCACTATACAGCTCACACTATACGAACCAATACACAAATAAAATTTAATTCTATTCTATTTAACTTTTAGTCAGCACATATAATACTTCTATTGCATCTATACTATATATTTTTCTTTTTTCTGAACCACCGTTTTTAAAATCTGCCTGTTTTTTTTTTAGACATGAGTCTCACTTTGTTGTCCAGGCTAGTGAGTAGTGCCTGGCATCAGCCTAGCTCACAGCAACCTCAAACTCCTGGCTCAGCAAGCCTACTGCCTCAGCCTCCCGAAGTAGCTGGGACTACAGGCAGGTGCCCCGATGCCCGGCTAATTTTTTATACTATATATATCTGCCATTAATTCTTTCTATTTATAGTAGACGAGCGGGGTCTCGCTCTTGCTCAGGCTGGGTTTCGAACACCCTGACCTGAGCAATCCGCCCACCTTGGCCTCCCAGAAGCTAGGATTACAGGCGTGAGCCACCGCGCCGGCCATAAAACTGCCTTTTAAACAGAAAAGTCTACTACTCTAATATTAAGACTTTGAATTCATACGGAAATTGATTACAAATTCAAATTTTCATCCCATGACAGATGACAGACTACCCACTTGACCTTGTGCCGAATCCCAGCAGGAGCTAACTGTTGGCAGCTGTGTTAAGAACAGGAATGAGGTCAGTGTCTGTCAAGTCTAACCTAGTCGTGACTGTAGGATTGCTAGCTTTTCCCCCCTGTTCACAAGTACGGTTGATTTTGAAAGTAATTAAATGACTAGTATAAAATATACAGGGACATAGGTAGGTGCCATTAAAGAGGGATGTGTCGGTTTTTAATTTTTTTTTTATAGTTACTTAAAAGAAAGTTTTTATTAACAAGGTTTTTCTTAATTCATATAAGTTCATTTTTAATATTAAATAGGGTTAGGTGCTCAGTAGTCCAAGTTTCATTTATGAATACTTTATTCCAGTTTAGTCCTCTTAAATGCATTTGCTTACTGTGTATTTATATTTTAACAGGTAAAAGCTATGAATTACCAGCTATTTAGAAAGAGGTAATTAACTGTATTGGAAAATAAAAATTTATACAATTTTCTCATTAGATCAGAGTTTAAAAAAAAATCAAATGAAGGATTAAGATTTGCTTAAAAATCTTTTATCATTATGGCATTATACCTTTCCAGAACAAGTATATTTACAGAAATTATAACAAGGCAACCTACCTTTTATCAAATCTCAATGTTCAGAATGTTTTGTTTTGCTGAGATGTTATTTGTTGTAAAAACCATTTCTGGTTACAAAAAAAAAGTCAAACTTTATCGGATTTAACCTGTTTTTTTACAAATGTCCTAGGAAACCTTAAGCCGAATATTTTAAGTAGAAAAACAATAATTTTAGAATAGTTTGTTATACTACTTCTGTGGTTTGTGCACATGTTTAACTGGTCTCTTTTATAGGAAATCTTACTAGTTTACCCCATTAAGCACTGTAAAATAAAGGCCAGAGCTAATCATCTTTTAACAACAATACTCTCAGCAACAAATGCACGTATCAAAGATATTACTTAGCGGTTGATCACTGCCTCCTACAAAATATGAAACAAAGTACATTTGCTAGATTGTTTTTCAGTTTGCAGCTACCCTTTGGCATCCAAAATAAGGATTTCCCATAAATAAAAGCTGCAGGCCGGGCACGGTGGCTCACGCCTGTAATCCTAGCTCTCTGGGAGGCCGAGGCGGGCGGATTGCTCAAGGTCAGGAGTTCAAAACCAGCCTGAGCAAGAGCGAGACCCCGTCTCTACTATAAATAGAAAGAAATTAATTGGCCAACTGATATGTATATAAAAAATTAGCCGGGCATGGTGGCGCATGCCTGTAGTCCCAGCTACTCGGGAGGCTGAGGCAGGAGGATCGCTTGAGCCCAGGAGTTGAGGTTGCTGTGAGCTAGGCTGACGCCACGGCACTCACTCTAGCCTGGACAACAAAGTGAGACTCTGTCTCAAAAAAAAAAAAAAAAAAAAAAAAATTAAAGCTGCAGTGCAATTCACTTAATGGTTAGTTTAGGCCAATCCTTCCCCCCATCCCAATTATTCTTTGTTCTGCCTCACTGCCCCCACACTGTATTATTAAAAACATTAAGTACCTGGGGTTTATGCTTCAGATCAAGACATCACTTGAGTAATTTCAAAATGATGTACAGCTATTCATGTAAAAAAAGATGTTCTGTGGTCACAAGTATTTCAAAAAGTAATTATATTCAAATAACCTGACATATCATGCCTTAGCAATTACAAAACCATGATTTTGACACATGGCAATTTATAAGTTAGGCAAATGTGAATTGCTAAAAGATGTGAACAGCTGTTCTTCTGTTTAAGTTTAGAGTGCTGCAAAATTCAGGTAATGACTTTATTTTTTTCAGTTAACATAAACCAGCCCACGGCACAGCATACTAAATCACAAAGTACAAATCCAAGGAACGTAATACCTTTACCGAGTCACAAAAATTTGGCAAATCAATACAGTACTCTTTAATACAATAAAGTTTTATTTTTGTTGGAGTCATGTATTACTTTAGAGGTAATTTTCACTCCAAAAATATTTAAGTACAAAACCAAAACACTGGTTTTTAAAGGTGGTTTATAGCAGAGCAAGTTATACAAATTAATATCTTTTAAAAGTATATAATTTCTCCTTTTAAAGTGAGTTCTCTCATGCAAGCTGTTGAAGTTACAGCAGCAGGGCAATCTCTGCTTTGTTTTGGGGTTGGTCCAAAGCCAGGTAGAGTTCCAATGCATGAAAAGCTTTAAAATTCTACCTTAAGGAGAGTCAATGTCAATACCAATTTCCAAGTACTTTTAAGAAAACTTAAATTTTCATATAAATACTGGAAACCTTAAAATTAGCCATTTCAAACAACACTAATTTCAGATGGTCCCTTTATTTAGAAGCCCTGTATCTCTGTTTTGATCAAGTCACATAGCCTAAATCAGCTTATTAAAAAAAAATTCTACCTAAAATAGAGTTGTATTTTTTAAATAACAAATAAATATTGCCAGCTTGGAGAGACCTGGGGCACCCAACGTTATCTACCAACTGGCATTATCATTTTTCTACAAACGCTGCTGCTGCCATTGGAGTCCTTATGCCTCCTCTTGCTGAAGCCGTCAGTTCTTCAATCTCGACATTTAATTTATGTATCACCCATTCCATTGCTTCTCGGCCTTTATTAGCATTTGAAGATATGGTACTTGCCATCAGTCCTTCAAGGTAACTGCTAAGGCTGACTCCTTTCACAGTGATTATGGCTTCTTGAGTCAAGATAGTTTTTTCTGGGTCCTGGGGATGTGGTTTGTATATAAGTCTCTCATCTACTGAAACCATATTTGTAAATGAAATATTAGTAGATTTAAGTTCCACTGTTTTCTCTACAGGATCAACTACAGAATGTTCTTGCACATATGTTTTGGTTCTTGCTGCACCGATAAGAGACTTCACAATGGAAGGCAGTCCCCACTCTGTGCTCAGAAGTCTGTGGCTGTGCAACTTTCCGGAGGGATCTACACGTCTGTCCAACACATCAACTCCCACCACACTCGGGTTCACAGGGTTTGGGTATTTCTGCATTGCAGCTGTGGCAACAGTTTCCCATGGGTGGTCAAAGACATGCTCCGAAGTCCAGATCTTCATGGTGCGGGCGGCCCGCGCGGCGCTAAGGGACAATGAGGCAAAGAGGCTACACCTGCCCCCGCCCCGGGGTGCTGGGTGTGGGGCGGGGGCAGGTGTAGCCCCATACTACTTTCCATAGAGGTTGTACTAGTCCGCAGTCCCACCGGCAGTGCAGGAGCTAGCTCTCCCTCCCCACCCCCACCCCCAGCAACTCTTGTGTTGGGACTTTTTGATAAAAGCCATTCTCACCAGAGTTTGGTGATATCTCATTGTGGTTTTGATTTGCATTCCCCTGATAACGAGGGACATTGAGCATTTATTCCTGTGTTTCTTGGCCATTCGTCTATCTTCTTTTGAAAAGTTTCCGTTTGTGTCTCTTGCCCATTTTTTAAAGGGGTTGTTTGATTTTTTCTTGCTGAGTTGCTTGAGTTCTTTGTAGAATTCTGGTTATCAGCCCTTTACTGGATGTATAGCGTGCAAATGTTTTCTCCCATTCTGTAGGTTGTCTATTTGTAATTTTCCTGACAAAAATCTGTCTGTACTAGTATGTTAAATTAATGTTTTTGTGGATTAAAAATAAAGATGACTATATAGGGGGAAGATAACTGGGCCCTCAGAAAAATAGGTGATAGTCCGGGCGCGGTGGCTCACGCCTGTCATCCTAGCACTCTGGGAGGCCAAGGCAGGAGGATGGCTCGAGGTCAGGAGTTCAAAACCAGCCTGAGCAAGAGTGAGACCCCGTCTCTACTAAAAATAGAGAGAAATTAATTGGCCAACTAAAAATACATAGAAAAAAATTAGCTGGCATGGTGGCGCCTGCCTGTAGTCCCAGCTACTTGGGAGGCTGAGGCAGGAGGATCTCTTGAGCCCAGGAGTTTGAGGTTGCTGTGAGCTAGGCTGAGGCCACAGAACTCTAGCCCGGGTGACAGGGTGAGAACTTCTGTTCCTCAAAAATAAATAGAAATAAATAAACTAGATATGAGACTGAGGGGCTCTGGACTTGTTTTTTATGATTTGTGTTAGACCTTTCTTTGTTCATTTGACCTAGAACTTTTCTGCTTATGCAGACCAATTAAGTATTTAGTAGCCCAGGGGCTGTGGATCGCGCCTGTAATCTTAGCACTTTGGGAGGCTGAGGTGGGAGGATCTCTTGAGATCAGGAGTTCAAGACCAGCTGGGGCAAGAGCGAGACCTCGTCTTTACAAAAAAAAAAAATAGAAAAATTAGCCAGGTGTTGTGTTTTTTATTTTTAATTTTTTTTTTCTGCCCCTGAGCTCAGTAGCAAAGGACAGGTGTGGTGTTATAGCACCTGTAGTCCCAGCTACTGGGGAGGCCGAGGCAGGCGGATCCCTTGAGCCCAGGAGCTGGAGGCTGCAGTGAGCTATGATGACGCCACTGCACTCCAGCCCGGGTGACATTGCAAGACCCTGTCTCAAAAAAAAACAACAAAAAAACAATTTACTAGACTTCCCCTCTATGTCACTACTAGGAACAGCTTGAGGAAGCAGCCAATGCCACAGGTAGCAAAGCGGTAGCCACTTCCCACTGTAATTTCTGGCACTAACCGAGAAGAACAGAGCTCTTCAAGGGTGCTGGGTCTCCCCTTAAAACTTTATTTTTCACAGTCATCTTGAAAGCTGTCATCTTGAATCCTCCCACATGTTCCCAGGCATGAGTCACCGCGCCCGGCCCCTCAGTCGCTTCTGAAACCAGGACTAATTGGGACTAATAGACCGAGAAACCCCTTGAATGAAAGTTAGTCTTTTTTCCCCGCCTTCTGTAAAGGGACGCCTTTCTCTTGCAAAAGAGAAAGCAAGCAGATTTTTCAGGGACCAGTGCACACTGGCCGTGAACTGATGCTAATTTGCAGAAACCCGAAAGATCGTTGTCATCTACGAGTCAGAGTAGGGGCTTTTGGAAGTCAGGTGTGACTCTGGGCCATTCTGAGATTAACCAGGCGGTGACTCCCATTGCAGTCACTGTGCCCCATGTGGTTTCATTGTTTGAACAAACCAACAGACACATCCCCGGCCCCCGTATGAAGCTGTTGACCTGGGAAGTGCTTGTCTGAAGGCAGAAGGTTTGCTTGAGCCCAGGAGTTTGAGGTTGCTGTGAGCTAGGCTGACGCCACAACACTCACTCTAGCCAGGGCAACAGAGTGAGACCTTGTCTCAAAAAAAAAGCCAGGACAAAAATTTGAAAATAATAATAATAATAATAACAAGACTGTCGTGTTGGTACTTTGGACTCCGGATCGGGGAAGGGTGGGATGGTTTCGGGATGATTCACGGGCATTGCATTTATTATTCACTTTATTTCTATTATTATTACATTGTAATATATACGGAAATACTTATACAACTCACGGTAAGTTGAGGACCCCGGCTTTAGAGTGTCTCTTGTTATTACCATTCCCTGTGATTACAACTAATGGAAAACTACAACAATTCAACCCAGGCAGGATGACAAACGCCCCTTCAGGAATAAAGGTGTGGGCCACCCTGCCAGTTCACAGGCCAACAGAGGTGTTTCCTGAGGGCAGAAGCCATAGAAAGTGGATAGCGGAAGAAGAAGGCAGCTATAAATACCAGCTATGGCCGTGTGACCAGTTACAGAAATAAGAGCTGCATTCCTCACGTGCATTTCTTCCTTATTTTGTTATGAATGTGCTTGTGTGTGTTTGAGATCACAAAGACCTTTGTTTCCTTCCCTCTTCTTCTTGTCTCATTGTTAGACATCAGATGCACTGACTTTATGTCATAGTATTGAAGGATTGTTAACTTCCCGTCGTAGTGTTTAAGTGACAGGATATCAAGAAGTGACGGCGGGGCGCGGTAGCTCACGCCTGTAATCCCAGCACTCTGGGAGGCCGAGGCGGGAGGATCACTTGAGGTCAGGAGTTGGAGACCGGCCTGAGCAAGAGTGAGACCCCGGTCTCTACTAAAAATAGAAAAATTAGCCTGTGTGGTGGTACGCACCAGTAGTTCCAGCTACTCAGGAGGCTGAGGCAGGGGGATCACGTGAGGCCAGGAGTTGGAGGCTGCAGTGAGCTATGATGACGCCACTGCACTCTACCTGGGGCGACAGAGCAAGACTCTGTCTCAAAACAAACCAACAACAAAAAAGTGTGAACATCGCCCAAGGACTGTGCATGCTCTTCCGGGGAAAAGGTTGGTGCATTTCTGGTTTTACACAGCATAGTTGGACCATGTTAAGTAAAAGTATGACCTTATCATTGTCATTGTTTGGAAATTAAGCATGATTTTTAAAAATGTGTGGTGTCAAGTTGCCAAGGATAAGACTTGTGATAATGGTTAATGTTATGTACCCACTTGGCTGGGCTATGGTGCCCAGATGTTCAGTCAAACACCCTTCTAAATGATGCTATGAAGGTATTTTGTAGGTTTAAGTAAGCTTTTTTTTTTTTTTTTTTTGAGACAGAGTCTCACTCTGTTGCCCAGGCTAGAGTGAGTGCTGTGGCGTCAACCTCGCTCAAAGCAACCTCAAACTCCTGTGCTCAAGCGATCCTCCTGCCTCAGCCTCCTAAGTAGCTGGGACTACAGGTATGCCCTGCTATTATATATATATATATATATATATATATATATATATATATATATATTTTTTAGTTGTACAGCTAATATCTTTCTATTTGTTTAGTACAGATGGGGTCTCACTCTTGCTCAGGTTGGTTTCGAACTCCTGACCTTGAGCAATCCACCCGCTTCGGCCTCCCAGAGTGCTAGGATTACAGGCGTGAGCCACTGCTCCGAGCTGTGATTAACTTTTAAACCAGTAGACTTTGAGGAAATCTGACTTTGATTTCCCTGGGAGCCCCTCCATCATGTGGACAGAACCCATCCCATCCACTGACCTGCTTAAGAGAAAAAGACAGAGATACCCTGCAGGGAGAAGGAGTTCTGCCTCTAGACTCAAGCTTGTACCATCGTGTTTCCCTGGGTCTCCCACTTGCTATCCCGCCCTGCAGATTCTAGACTGGCCAGCCCCTATTCATGGGAGCCAACTCCTTATAATCTCTCTCCCCCTCCCCACGTGTACAACCACAGGCCATACAGCTCTATTGCAGCTGCTCAGCCCTGCTGTTGTAGCATGCAATCCACTCTAGACATTACACAAACACATGGTCGTGGCTCATGTTCCAGCCAAACTTCGCTGACAAAGTCAGGCGATGGGCTAGACGTGGCCTGAGGATCATCCGACTCCTGATCTAGACTGTAAACTGCTTGAAGCCAGAAACTAGTCCCCCTACCTTTCTCTGTGTCCTCAGCACCTAGAAAAAAAATGTTGGCACATTAACGAGCCCGTTCTACTAAGTGAGGTATCCCAAGCATGGAAAAACAAGCACCCCATGCACTCCCCATGAAATTGGCATGAACTGATCGACACTGAGGTGCACATACGGTAGCAAACTTCATCAGGTGTCGGGCAGGTAGTGGGGGAGGAAGGGATGGGTATATTCACGCCTATGGGTGCGGCGATCGCATCTGGGGGGTGGGCACGCCTGCAGCTCTGACTCTGGCCGGGCAAAGGCGATCTGTGTAACCTAAACATTTGTACCCCTGTAATATGCTGAAATAAAAATTGTTTTTTTATTTTAACAAACCCTCAATAAACATATGTTGAGTAAATGAATGAATGAGTGAATGAAAAAGTACTCTTCTAATCTCTCCCTGATGGGCCAATTCCTTTGCACTTCAATGTCTTTGCACCTTAATGAGCAATGGCATTTAAACTCGAATATGTCTCTGAAAGTTTAATAATGGTTTTCCTCAACGCTGAGGGGAGTGTCTTTGTCGATTTTATTACTGGCGTATTTAAATATCATTCGATCTAACATCAAATAAAATCTTCCTAGAGAAATGGCTTTTACATTCACGCTGAAGTCTTTTGTTTGTTCTATTATCTCTGTCTCCTGGGGTGTTCCTTCTCTCTTGCTGTTGTGGAGTGCGGGACGTCTCTTTTATCCTTAGCGTGCACTCGTGGTTGTGTTTGAAAAGTTCTCCTGCCTGTTCT